CTCTCTCTCTCTCTCTCTCTCTCTCTCTCTCTCTCTCTCTCTCTCTCTCTCTCTCTCTCTCTCTCTCTCTCTCTCTGTGCGTCGTTCGTGCTGCAGGGTCACCATAACCTAAGAAAAGACAAGTTTTATACCCGAACCCAAAAACCAGTCTTGCGCTGGGGCCACCGCACCACATAACTTGGGGTGCTGGGCATAACATTTCTTAGGCTCGACATCAGTAAAGGAAAAGCAAATGTCCCCCAAGCAAAATGAACCACCACAAAAAAAGCACCCACAACATTTAAACCACCAGTACCTACCGGTGTTCAAGGCCCGACCCTAAAGCTACCCGTAGGCCCGACCCTAAAGCTACCCGTAGGCCCGACCCTAAGGCCAACAAACCAATCTATACCCGAACCCGGCCTCCACATGAATAAAGGAAAGTCCCTGGCTGCGCCATCACGCTTGGCGTGGTCTAACAGTACCTCATGTTCCACATCAAAATGTCCACGTATGGCTCCCGACCGCTGCTCCACCTCCATTCCTCCCCCTTCTCGGAAGGAGTTTGACCCGGCATAGCTGGGTAGGCTTCGATGGATGCCCCGTAGCGACGGCCGCGTGCCGTGCCTTAGGTCAGCGGAACCGGACCCCCCTGTCCGATAGCGCATGTTGGAGCGCGCTGCGCCCAACCATTCGCCCGTCCCCGTTGGTGCTTTTTGATCTTTCGTTTCCTTTTCTTTTTCCGCGGGGTGGAGGCGGGGCGAGGTGAAGGGGGACGGAGGTGTTATTATCGGGGTACGGAGTGACTTTACGCAGCGGGGCGCAGGGCCTACTCACAGTACTGTAGAACACTTTTACTAATTTTTTGGACGTTTATGCGGTCAGATGCATTCAGGGCCGACTGTGAATGCCATCAGATACATTTAAGATCGAGTTAGTGCGAGTACGCCCTCAGTCGCACTTCAATGACATACTTTTATGACTGAATCTGGCCGTGCAGGCCGTCAGATACATTTAAGACAGCTGGTGTGAGTACGAAAGTACTGAATCTGGCCGAGACTGATGGCTGGAGACATCCATGAAATTCCCGTCCAAGAAGATTCCCGTCCATGAAAATTCGCATCCATGAAATGAAAATTCCTGAAGCGGAATATGGCCTTCTTAGAAAAAGCGAAAAAAAAAAAGCAGTCGCCCCCGTAACCTGTTTTTTAAGCTGCGAACTCATTCATGCTGTGTTTGTACATAAGCGACAATTTTTAGGGAAGTAAGATATGTTCTTCTCTCTAATTCACCCTCGTCACTACTAACCTACGGCTTACTCCAAAGGGAACCCCTGCAAGCAAGCATAGGTATATCTCGTTGTCTTTTTTTTTCTCTTTTCTTTTTTAATAACTTGACATGATATTGAATTGTGTGTACCACTGTACCATTCAGCCACCCACATGGGCTGGGCTGGGCTGGGCTGGGCTGGGCTCGGCTGGGTGCCTTCGCTCTTCTCAGGCACGTTTGTGATAAGTGCGTTGAAAAAAAAAAAAAAAAAAAAAAAACCTGTTCAAAGGCCTGGAATGTGAATTCCCCTTTTTTTAAAAAAAAAAAAAAAAAAAAAAAAAAAAAAAAAAAAAAAAAAACACTGTGTTGTGGTCATGCTAAAAAATGAAATAAAAAGAAATTCCAATTCAATTCTTTTGAGGGCTTTTGCCATATCAGTGAAGTGGAAGGGATCAAATTAGGGCGTACTCACACCAGCACTGTTTTAAATGTACCTGACCGCATTAACGGCCAGACCTCTATTAATCTGGCTGCAATTCCGTCAAGAAGCAAGCAGGAAAGTGCTGGTGTGACTATGCCGTTACGTTCAGCATACACAACCACAATATGGAGCCTTTTTTTTCTCTCTTTCTTTTTTTTTTAAATCACAGTATGGAGCTTTCGAATTGAAAAAAAAAATAAAAAAAATTGAGACCGTTGATTATGAAGATGTACGGCCGGTGAAAATGCGAATGGCATTCGTCGGGAGAAAAAAAAAAAAACATGAAGGGAGTACTCACATTACGACTTCTCGACTGATTTGTGGGCGAATTGCGGTCGTATACATACAGGACTGGCCCTAATTGCAGTCAGATACATACTGGAAAGTCCTCCTTCTGTATATCTACTATTTATCTATCTATCTATCTATCTATATATGTCGTTTGTTTTCCTCTTCTCCCTCTCTGCCTACGGTTTACCGGGCAGCTCTGTTTGAGTATATACATATAATATATAATATATAATATATAATATATAATATAATATTATTATATATATATATATATATATATATATCGTCACAAACAGAACTGCCCGGTAAAACCGTAGGCAGAGAGAGAGAAGAGGGCAACAAACGAGGGGCTGTGACAAACTGTTTCGTCGGAGTTTCATATATATATATATATATAGTCTAAGAGCATACTCACACCAACACTTCCCAAAATGCATCTGACTGCAATTACGGCCCCACGCCTCTATGAATCCGACGGCAATGACGGCCAGAGCTTGGTAGAAAAAGTCCTGGTAGTGGTGAGTATGCCCTAAGACAAGGGAGGTGGTAACTTAGGGCGTCGACATATGGCACACGAAACGAGAAAGGAAAAGAGTGCATCTTCCCGCAGAAAATGGCCAGGTTCATCGGTTTGCTATAAATAGTAATGAATGTATCTTGCCACCTTTCGTGGGCAGATGCACTCGTTTCTTTTTTTTTTCTTTTTTTTCTTTTTCAAAGTTTGTTAACTCCATCTATTGGTGGGGAGCTGCACCTGCTGGAAAACGGGTCCAGCGTCCCATAATACATAAACACAACAGCACAGAGTGGTGAACTTAGTAAAGGGACCTTACTCTGGTTCCATCTTACAAGGGGGAAAAGAAAAAAAAGAAGTAAAAATGCATTGACACACTCTTGCACGCAGCCACGCAGGCACACTCAAACAAACCCACACAACTAACACACAAAACAAAGGGCTTCGCCACACGCCACTGTTGAGAAAAGAAAGAATGCATCTTCAGGAGAAAGTAGTTATATGCATCCGTTGCTATTCATAGTAAAGGATGCATCTTGCCATTCTCTACGGGAAGATGCACTCTTACTTTTTCCGTTTCGACAGTGGTGTGGCGAGGCCCAAGCACA